TCTGTTTAAGTGTTTAATAAAAAATGAAGACGAGGATGAGACGAGGCGAAGTACGATGAACTAATAAAATAAGAGGTGAAAAAGTTAGTAGCCCAAATTGACTTACAATTATATGGACGTCGGGTCCGCGCTAAAAAGTGTCCGAACTTATAGGGCGTTAAAATCGTATACAGAGCGTCATTCACGCTTTAGTCTTCGTTTGTTTCTTCTGACAGCGAAGCAAGCAAAATTAGACAGTACTGCGATGACATTACAATTTAAATTCAACGTCTTAGCTTTTTCATATTCCTTCACATGTCACTACGTTTAAATAGGTTGACTTGGGACATTTTTTTCGTGGTTTTTGTATTAGACTTGTCGTCCATTTATTTGTAAGTCAATGGTAGCCCATAATAAAAAGGTGTATCAGTTATTTTAGTCACGAACCTCAAATTCACCTTTGACATAGGACGAACACAAGTTTGTAAAAGTTGTGAATTGACTTTTGACGATTTTTACGGAAGAAGTTTTATATTTATTTATTTATTATTTATTTATACATTTTAGGAAAATTCACAGACAAATAATACAATTATAATATACTTAAATATGAGTAATCCAATGCCATTTACGAATTTCCTCCAACATGAAGCAATCTAAAGTGCTTAGTAAGGCAAAAAGAGATTTTAAGACAAAACAAAGAACATAGTCACTAAATTAAAAACAAATAAAATAAAAATACTAAAATAATCTTAGGCTCAACTCACACCGGCGCAGAGTCGAAGCGTCGCGACGCGTCATCTTTTTCGCCTATAGCATATTCATCTCTATTTTCCCATTATTAAAGTTAAGTTAATTATTACATTATTATTACAAATTTGTGTTTTGCTAATATGGTATCGAGCTTCGACGCTTGGTAGCATTCGAGCGGCTTCGCGCGTCGACGCGCGTAGCTTGGGCGCCGTGAGGCGTCAGACGCCGACCACACTGTGATCCCGGCGTCGTGCGTCGTGCGTCGTCTCGCATCGCCAGGTGGTGTAGTTGAAAAACAGGACGCGACGTGACGCTTCGACTCTGCGCCAGTGTGAGTTGAGCCTTAGACTATGCATCCTTTAAGAAATTAATTCTTTTATTTTTTTCCATCCTCCAAGAAAATAATAGACAAGCGAACAAACCAGCGCATGTATCGCCAACTTGCCAACTTAGACTATTTTTCCATCCTCTAAGACGTAGACTATGGAAACTAAAGGACATGTTACGTTGACATATATAAATCAGACGTTATATGTATATGATGCATTTCGACTTCGAAAACATAAACATATTATTGTCTTTGTTTAACTATTACGTGCCGTCTTAAGCCAAAAGAGATAGCATTACATTGGTCTGTGTCAAACACGGGAATCGAAAATTCGT